TATACTCATAATATTATATATATTTATATTTATTAATAAAATAAATATTTACTAATTTCAAATAATGAAACGATATTCTTTATAATATGCATTACTATATTTTAATTATTAAACATAATTATTTAATAATTATCCAAATTAACTAAATTATGTTGTTTGTTAGTTTCAAAAATAATAATAAAGGTAGTTTCACATATTAATAGCTTTTTTATTAATTCAAAATAATATAATAATTTATAAATTAATTTTTTTTTATTATAATAATAATAATTATAGTAAATATTATTATAATTATTAAAAATATTAAAAATATAAAAAAAATATTATAAACCACCAAGTAGAGGATGTAAACTGTAAATAAATCGTTAATGAGATCTATTCTCGCCTCTAATTTTTGAAACAAGTTGACTATTTAAGTTGGTATATCTGTCAATTTAATTCAAATGGGAGAAGAAGGAGAAGTACAAGCACTTGTCGTAGACAATGGATCTGGTATGTGCAAGGCCGGTTTTGCTGGTGATGACGCCCCACGAGCTGTCTTCCCATCAATTGTTGGCAGACCAAAACAAGTTTCAGTCATGGCTGGTATGGGCAACAAGGACACCTATGTTGGAGATGAAGCCCAATCAAAGAGAGGTATCTTGACTTTGAAATACCCAATTGAGCACGGTATTGTCAACAACTGGGACGATATGGAGAAGATCTGGCACCACACTTTCTACAACGAGCTCAGAATTGCACCAGAAGAGCACCCAGTCCTTTTGACTGAAGCCCCAATGAACCCAAAGGCTAACAGAGAAAAGATGACACAAATCATGTTCGAGACTTTCAACGTCCCAGCCATGTACGTTGGAATTCAAGCTGTCCTTTCATTGTATGCCTCTGGTAGAACAACTGGTATTGTCATGGATTCTGGTGATGGTGTCTCTCACTGCGTCCCAATCTATGAAGGTTTCTCACTCCCACACGCCATCCTCAGAATTGATCTTGCTGGTCGTGATCTCACTGACTACCTCATGAAGATCTTGACTGAAAGAGGTTATGCTTTCACCACAACTGCTGAAAGAGAAATTGTTAGAGACATCAAGGAGAAGCTCTGCTATGTCGCTCTTGACTTCAACGAAGAAATGCAAAAGGCTGCTTCATCATCAGAACTTGAGAAATCATACGAACTTCCAGATGGTCAAGTCATCACCATTGGAAACGAGAGATTCAGATGCCCAGAAGCACTCTTCCAGCCATCATTCCTTGGTATGGAAGCATCAGGTATTCACGAGACAACTTACAACTCAATCATGAAGTGCGATGTCGATATCAGAAAGGACTTGTACGGAAACATCGTCTTGTCTGGTGGAACCTCTATGTACCCAGGCATCAACGACAGACTTGAGAAGGAGATGGTTGCTCTTGCGCCACCAACAATGAAAATCAAGGTCATTGCACCACCAGAGAGAAAGTACTCTGTCTGGATCGGAGGCTCAATTCTTGCCTCATTGTCCACTTTCCAAAACATGTGGATCACCAAGGAAGAGTACGACGAGTCTGGCCCAGCCATCG